GAGGGTTGGCTCAAGGGTCGCTCCGCGCTCGGATGGAAGGGCATCGTTGGCCGTCAACCGATTGTCGACGAGCTGCCGGAGGCGCTCTCGTCGTCCGACCTGCTGCTCTACTTTGGGCACGGCGGAGCGGAGCAGTTCATCCGACAGAGTAAGCTGCGCGACCTGGAGCGATGCGCCGTCGCCATGCTTTGGGGCTGTTCGTCGGCCATGCTCCACGACAATGGCGACTTTGACCGCACAGGTACGCCGCTCAACTACATGTGCGGCGGCGCGCCGGCGATGGTGGGCAATCTGTGGGACATGACCGATCGCGAACTGGATTCGGTCTGCGAGGGCGTGTTTGGCCGACTCGGACTGATGGAGGCGGGAGAGCGCGCCCCGCTCAAGTCGACCGCAAGGAAGCTCAAGGTCGACGCCGATGGCATCCTCGTGGCTAGTAGAGCACCGACTCAGATGTCGCTGGCTCGTGCAGTCGCAGAGAGTCGCGACGACTGCAGACTTCCGTACTTGACCGGCGCCAGCACTGTTGTCTACGGTGTGCCCGTCTACTGGAACGACGACGCCCTGTGATGCAAGCTCTTGCACTTTACTAGTCACATTCTCTTCGTCACGTTTGGCATAGCCTACTGGGCGTAGCGAAGACTCTTGGAATGACACTCTCTTGCATAAGATCACTTTTGTTCACCATCTCCTATGAACACGCAGCATATGATCTTTGTTCACGTTGGATGCTGCTTGGCGCTCGAGCTGTCCGTCCAGCAGCGGGCACTTCCATCGAACAAGACGATGCAAGCATTCAATGGTCACAGTGCCCTTTTGCAGCCCAGCAAAAGCGTGCGAAATGTTTGCCACAAATTGTGGCGTCGAAAATCTTTTTCGCCACGCCTGCGAGTGTTAGGCCGGAAGGGATACAGAGCGAGAAGAACGGCTGTCCGTGGAGAAATCTGCAGGCTGTATGCAGGGCGGCTCAAAGCTTGCAGGCTTGGGAGCTGCAGCAATTTAGGCTTGATTAGCCGTTTGACACATGCGCGCAGCAGGGTGGCGAAATTTGGGCTGAGTCGGGCGAGCTCGCAGCTGCTGCACCCGGCTGTATGCAGCTGCTCCTGCTGCTTCCTTCCTGCCATTCAACTGCTCTCCTTCCTCGAATCGACCGCCACACCACACTCCTTCACCGACTATTTCTTCCGCAGCGACTGGCTCGCTGTGCGTACTGTTGGTCTCTGCGACGTACGATCGGCCGCGGGTAGTCTCACCATGCCGCCTCGTCGCTCTTCTCGGCAATCGGCTGCGGCCGCAACCGAGAACGTGATCGTCATATCTTCCGACGATGATGATGTCGTCACGCCTGGGGCAGCCACGCCAGCCAGCGTCAGAATGACTCGCCGTCGTACTGCCAGCTCGGTGGCCACGCCTACCACTGCGCGTTCTTCGCGCACAAGCTCCATCTACGCCTCTGGCAGCCACACCCCGGCCACCTCTGTGGAAGATGGTGGCGACAATGAAGAAGACAGCAAGAACGACTTCGGCACGGATGCGCTGCAGCCCGGTCGCCGCACGGCGGCACCCCTCACTGCCAGAGCCTCCCGATCGGCTTCCCTCAAGACACCCCTCAAGGCCGAGGTCAAAGCGGAAGCTCCTTTGCCCGCAACCAGTGACTCTCGCAAGCGCAAGCGTGCTTCGACTGCTGCGGAGGACGAGTCCAAGTCAACCATGCTCACAGACGAGGCTGAAGTGGAGCAGCCCGCCCGCCGAAAGGGGCGAAGCTCCACTGCCTCGAACGTTGCCATGAAGGCCAAAGATGCTGGCGGCTTCCTGGACGATGACCCCGAAGGCCTGGACGCCTTCTTAGAGCAGGAGCTCAGTCAAATCTCGTCTTCCGGTCGAAAAGCCAAGACGCTCGCCAAGGGCAAGGGCCGCGCCCAACCTCGAGCCAAGAAGGAAGAGGAGAGCGACGATGCTTTCGACGAGATCGATCTCACTCCACGGTCGCGCCGCATTCCCCGTCGAAGCGCCTCGTCCGGTAAAAAGGAGCTCAAGCCCTACCTTGACGAATCGGACGACGAGATCGACGGTCTCAAGGACGACGACAACGTCAGCATGGGCGGCGACGACTACGAGGACAGCCTCTCGCTCCTGGAGGAGATGAGCAGCGACGACGAGCCCCTGTTCAACAAGAAGCGCTCCGAACGCTCGACGGCCAGTGGCAGTGCCGCACAGGCTGGCCCAAGCACCTTTGCTACGCTCGAAGACATCAAGTTCGACTCGGACGAAACCGAAGAAGACGACGACTTTCACCCACGCGGCAACAACTTCTATGCGGAGGACACCCAGTACGAGACTGAAAAGCAGCGCAAGGCACGCATGCGCAGCGAACGTCACCAGGCTCGCCGCAAGAAGGTGGACAATCGCACGCAGTACGACAAGAACGCCCAAGCGCTCCACAAGCACCACCCGCAGCTCAAGGACGTGTGGGAGAATCTGCAGAAGACGGTGGCAGTCATCAAGCCCGAAGAGGCCGAGCAGCCGGCTGGTCTCAACATCAAGCTGCTCCCATTCCAACGCGAGGGCCTGTACTGGATGACGCGCCAAGAGCAGGGTACTTGGAAGGGCGGCATGCTTGCCGACGAGATGGGCATGGGCAAAACGATCCAGATGATCAGCCTCATGTTGTCGGACCGCAAGAAGCCGTGCCTGGTCGTGGCGCCCACCGTGGCCATCATGCAGTGGCGGAATGAGATCGAGCAGTACACCGAGCCCAAGCTCAAGGTGCTTCTGTGGCACGGACCCAACCGGACGCAGAACCTCAAGGAGCTCAAGGCCGTCGACGTGGTGCTGACGAGTTACGCGGTGCTGGAGAGCAGCTTCCGCAAGCAGGAGTCGGGATTCCGCCGCAAGAACGAGATCCTCAAGGAAAAGTCGGCGCTGCACGCGGTGCACTGGCGACGCATCATCCTCGACGAGGCGCACAACATCAAAGAGCGCTCCACTAACACAGCCAAGGGCGCCTTCGCCCTGCAGGGCGACTTCCGCTGGTGCCTGAGTGGCACGCCGCTGCAAAACCGTGTTGGCGAGCTGTACTCGATGATCCGCTTCCTCGGCGGCGATCCATTCGCATACTACTTTTGCAAAAAGTGCCCTTGCAAGTCGCTGCACTGGTCGTTCAGCGACAAGCGCAACTGCGACTCGTGCGGCCACACGCCGATGCACCACACGTGCTACTGGAACAACGAGATCCTCAAGCCGATCCAGCGCAGCGGTGCGCAGCATGGCGAAGGGCGGGACGCGTTCCGGCGTCTGCGCATCCTGCTGGAGCGTATGATGCTGAGGCGAACCAAGCTGGAGCGTGCAGACGACATGGGCCTGCCGCCGCGCACGATTGAAGTGCGACGCGACCTGTTCAACGAAGAGGAGGAGGATCTGTACACGTCGCTGTACACGGACACGACGCGCAAGTTCAGCACGTACTTGGATCAGGGCACGGTGCTCAACAACTACTCGAACATCTTTACGCTGCTGACGCGCATGCGACAGCTGGCGAACCATCCGGATCTGGTTCTGCGCTCCAAGACGGGAATGGCGTCGAAGCTGCTGGGCGATGCTCAGTCCGAGATTCACGTGTGCCGTCTGTGCACGGACGAGGCGGAGGATGCGATCATGTCGCGATGCAAGCACATCTTCTGCCGCGAGTGCGTGCGGCAGTATCTGGACGCCGACATTGAGCCGGGCGCGGTGCCGGACTGTCCGTACTGCCATGCGACGTTATCGATCGACCTGGAGTCGGAGGCGCTGGAGCCCCCGGAAAGCACGATCCGAATGAACGACTCGGGTCGCCAGGGCATCCTGGCGCGTCTGGACATGGACAAGTGGCGCTCGAGCACCAAGATCGAGGCGCTGGTGGAGGAGCTGACGCAGCTGCGGAGCGAGGACAAGACGATCAAGTCGCTCGTCTTCTCGCAGTTTGTCAACTTCCTCGACCTGATCGCGTTCCGGCTGCAGCGGGCGGGCTTCCAGATCTGCCGTCTGGAGGGCAACATGTCGCCCGAGGCGCGCAACAGGACGATCAAGCACTTTATGGAGAATCCGAACGTGACGGTGTTCCTGGTGTCGCTCAAGGCGGGTGGCGTTGCGCTCAACCTGACGGAGGCGTCGCGAGTGTACCTGATGGATCCGTGGTGGAATCCGTCCGTGGAGGTGCAGGCGATGGACCGCATCCACCGTCTGGGCCAGCATCGACCGATCATTGTGAAGCGCATGGTGATCGAGAACAGCATCGAGTCGCGCATCATCGAGCTGCAGAACAAGAAGAGCGCGATGATCGAGGCGGCCATCGGCAAGGACGACGGTGCGATGGGCAGGCTGAGCGTGTCGGACCTGCGCTTCCTGTTTACGCTCTGAGCGACACACACAAGAGGGCAATCCCGGTTACGCATGACTCTTGTTTTCGTTCGTTGCAATTCAAGGTTTTGGTCCCGAACAGTGTAGCTTTTTGCGGAATGGCTTGCGTGTGAAGACGAAGAGTAGGCTCAGGATGTGAATTGCGGTTCTGGCATGGTCACATGTGTGTGGCATGGTCACATGTGTGTGCGAGGGCGAGCGTGTGGGGCAGGAGAAATTGTGGGGATCGGCGTTCTCCGAAGGGGCTCAAGGCACACACGTCCCCCTGAGATTTAATCGCCCAAAGCCAAAACGCTGATTGGGAGCCAAGCGAGACGTGGACCCCACCTTTTTCTTCGCTGAGTGCGCCTTTGACGGCCGTTCAAGTGCGCGCGCGCTCGGAGTTGGCCGAACCGCACAAAAAGACGGCTCCTCGGGAGGAGAGCAGCGGGCGAGCGCCTATTCCAAATTTCCATTTCGCGTGCCTTTTTGTGCTGCGCTTATCGGCTTGCCGGCTACTGCTGCTGCTGCTGCTGCTGCTGCGTGAGGTGGCAAATCCAGGGCTTCCAGCAGCAGCTCAAGCCAGCTAGACCAACTCGGACCACCCTCGTCCCTCCTCTACGATAACCATCCCCCCTTCCCCCCCTCCCCCCTTCCTTGCCTTCAGTCCCACCTACATCGGTCCACCCTCGCTCTCTGATACGGAATCCCTTTCGTGCCTTGGAATCACTCTATACCCCCCGAGCTTTCCCCACTCTGCCAAGGTCACATCGCACAACACCTCCTACTGGCACACACGCGCTCTCCATCGCCTGCAACATCCATCATGCCCGTGCCTGTCAGCGCAACCAAGAGCGTAGACGGCTTCGAGCTGCCTGCGCAGTTCGCAGAGGCGTCCAAGCTCGTCTTCACCGTCAACAATACGCGCTTCCAGCTCTCGCCGGCCAGGGGCGACGACCTCGACCTCACGCTTCTCGAGTTCATCCGCAGCAAGGGATTCACCGGCACCAAGCTCGGCTGCGGCGAGGGCGGGTGTGGCGCATGCACTGTCGTCGTGGGCAAGTATGATTCCGCCCACGCATCTGGTGCCTCCTCCTCTTCCTCAGCGTCCAAGGCTCCGTACAGGTACAAGTCGGTCAATGCATGTCTGCTGCCGCTCGTCGCAGTGCACGGCTGCCATGTGCTCACCGTCGAGGGCATCGGCTCGTCGTCCAATCCCCACCCGATCCAGGAGCGAATCGGAAAGCTCTTCGGATCGCAGTGCGGCTTCTGCACCCCCGGTATCGTCATGTCGCTCTACGCCACAGTCAGGAACGGCTACGGTCACCTGACCGAGGCCGACATCGAACACTCGCTGGACGGCTGCCTCTGCCGATGCACTGGCTATCGCCCTATTCTGGACGCAGCCAAGTCGTTTGCGACCGTGAAGAGCGACAAGAACGGCGCATCTGCGTCCAATGACACTAGCGACGAGTCGGACGAGGCAGAACCGTCCACTCCACCCGAGGCTGACCTCATCACCCGCACCCCATGTGCAAAGGGTGACGACTGCTGCATGGTCAATGGATCCAAGAAGGGATGTGCGCCGTCCTCAACGCCATCGCCCGGCATCTCGACCACGGCCCAAGCCATCCAAAAGGTGCTCGACCCCAACCAGTTCAAGCCGTATGACGCTGCTGCCGAGCTCATCTTCCCGCCATACCTTGCAAAGGACGCCTTCGATGCGCAGGATTTGGTCTTTGTCGAGCAGCTCCCCGAGTCGGACGAGCTCGATGGCGAGCCTCAGCAGACCAAGGCAGACTCGTCAGCGCGACAGGTCTGGCTGCGGCCCGGCTCGCTCAAGTCGCTCGTCGAATGCATGAAGCTCTACGGCCTCGACGCCGGCGGCAAGATCCGAAGTGGCAACACGGAGACCGGAATCGAAGTCAAGTTCAAGCACCTCAAGTACTCGGTCTCCATCTTTGTCTCGGACCACATCAAGGACCTCGCCTTCTACCGCTCCGAAGAACGCGGAATCACCGTCGGCGCCAACCTCAGTCTCACAGACCTGGTCAACAATCTGCGCGCCGAGCGGCCCGCGGGCGCCTACGCCAAGCAGGTCAAGCGCGCCATCCTCGACAACCTCGCCTACTTTGCCTCGAACCAGATCAGGAACGTCGCCACCCTGGCCGGCAACATTGCCACCGCCTCGCCCATCTCGGATCTCAACCCCGTCTGGGTTGCCACCGGCGCGGAGCTGTCGTACATTGATGCAGCCGCCGGCGACGTCAACGAGAAGAGCGTCAACATGCGCGACTTCTTCCTCGGATACCGCAAGACCGCCCTGCCCGCCGGCGCCGTCATCACCAAGCTCTTTGTGCCCTGGTCCGCCGAGGCCGGCAGCGTGGTGCAGGCGTTCAAGCAGTCCAAGCGCAAGGACGATGACATTGCCATCGTCAATGCCTGTCTCCGCCTCTCGGTGCGCGATGACAAGATCCTCGATGCCACGCTCGCCTTTGGCGGCATGGGCCCCACGACCATGCAGAGTGTCAAGGCGCAGTCGTTCTTGGCCGGAAGGCAATTCAGCGCGCCAGACACGCTGTCGCAGGCGCTGCAGATCTTGGCCACAGACGACTTCCCGCTCTCCTTCGGCGTCCCCGGTGGCATGCCCGTCTTTCGCAAGACGCTTGCCCTTGGATTCCTCACGCGTCTCTGGGGTTTGGCTGCACCCAGGCTTGGGCTGCCCAAGCTCGCCGCCGCCATCGAGGCGCTGCCCGATCTGGAGGAGCTTGCTACGAGCACCGTCGACAGGCCTGTGACCAAGGGTCTGCAGGACCTTGAGAACGTCGCCATCAAGCAGCCCGTCGGCGACTCGATCCCGCATCTGTCGGCCATGAAGCAGGTTACGGGCGAGGCGGTGTACATCGACGACATGCCGCCGGTAGCCAACGAGCTGCACGCCGGCTTTGTGCTCTCGCAGCGCGCGCACGCCAAGCTGCTCAAGGTCGATGCCACCGAGGCATTGCGCATGCCCGGCGTGGTCGACTTTATCACCTACAAGGACATCCCCGCTGGCGGCAGTAACATTTGGAACCCGCCCTCGATGGACGAGACCTTCTTCGCCGAGGACACCGTGTACACTGTCGGCCAGATCATCGGCCTCATCGTCGCCGATACCAAGCGCCATGCTCAGGCGGCAGCGCAAAAGGTGCACATCGAGTACGAGGATCTGCCTCACATCCTCACCATCGACGAGGCGATCGAGGCGCAGAGCTTCTTCAAGCCTCGTCCCGTCATCCATCGCGGCGACAAGTCGGACGAGGGATGGAGCCAGTACGACCACGTGCTCGAGGGCGAGACGCGTATGGGCGGACAGGAGCACTTTTACCTCGAGACCAACGCGTGCCTCGTGATTCCAGGCAAGGAGGACTCCGAAATTGAGGTCATCTCGTCCACGCAGAACCCGTCCGAGACGCAAGTCTTCTGTGCGTCGATCCTGGGCATTCCGAACAACCGCGTCGTGACGCGCGTCAAGCGTCTCGGCGGTGGCTTTGGTGGCAAGGAGTCGCGCACGATCGCATTTGCGGCGCCGCTTACGCTCGCGGCCAAGAAGCTCGGCAGGCCCGTCAGGGTGATGCTCGACCGCGACGAGGACATGCTCACCACCGGGCAGCGACATCCGTTCATGTGCAAGTGGAAGCTCGCTTTCAGCAAGGATGGAACGCTCGAGCGCCTGCATGCGCGCGTCTACAACAATGGCGGATGGAGCCAGGATCTGTCGCAGGCAGTGCTGGAGCGCGCCATGTTCCACATCGACAACTGCTACCGCATCCCGCACCTGCACGTCGAGGGCTACATCTGCAAGACCAACACCATGTCCAACACCGCCTTCCGCGGCTTTGGTGGTCCGCAGGGCATGTTCTTCACCGAAGACTTTGTCCACAAGGCGGCGGCGGTGCTCGGCGTGCGGCCCGAGGCGATTCGCGAGAAGAACATGTACCGCGAGGACGACGAGACCCACTTTGGCCAGAAGCTCGTCGACTGGAACGTACCTACGTTGTGGCAGCAGCTCAAGGGGTCTGCCGACTACGACGCCAGGCTCAAGGCGGTGGAGAGGTTCAACGCCGAGCACAGGTACCGCAAGCGCGGTCTGGCGATGATCCCGACCAAGTTTGGCATCTCGTTCACCGCCATCTTCCTCAACCAGGCTTATGGTGTTGTGCATGTGTACCATCATGATGGCAGCGTGCTGTTCTCGCACGGCGGTACCGAGATGGGTCAGGGTCTGCACACCAAGATGGCGCAGGTGGTGGCGACCGAGCTGGGCATTCCGGTGTCGATGGTGCATCTGAGCGAGACCAACACGTCGCAGGCGTCCAATACGTCGGCGACTGCCGCCTCGGCCTCGTCGGATCTGAACGGTATGGCGCTCAAGAATGCGTGCGACCAGATCAATGCGTCGCTCGCCAAGTTCCGCGTCGAGGTGGCTGCCAAGGGGCTGAGTGGGGTCGAGGCGTGGAAGGATGTGGTGCACATGGCGTACTTTAACCGCGTGCAGTTGTCGGCGATTGGACACTACCGCACGCCGGGTATCGGGTACAATTGGTCGGACGGGACGGGGACGCCGTTCTACTACTTTACCCAGGGTGCGGCGGTGTCCGAGGTGGAGCTGGATACGATTACGGGCGACCACCGGATCGTGCGTGCGGATGTGCACATGGATATCGGGCGTTCGATCAATCCGTCGATCGATGTGGGTCAGATCGAGGGCGCCTTTACGCAGGGCTTTGGACTGTTTACGCTCGAGGAGACGCTGTTTATGAACAACGGTCAGCTTGCCACGCGGGGCCCAGGGAACTACAAGATCCCCGCGTTCCTGGATACGCCTAGCGATATGAGGATCTCGTTCCTGAAGGTGCAGGATCCGAGCAATCCGGCAGTGGCGAGGCACAACAAGCACCTGGGCACGATCCAGTCGAGCAAAGGCATCGGCGAGCCACCGCTGTTCCTGGGCGCATCCGTGTTCTTTGCGCTCAAACATGCCATTGCCGATGCGAGGAGGCAGTACGTGGGCGATGAAGCGGAGAGGTTCCATCTCGTGGCACCGGCTACGCCAGAGAGGATCAGAGTCGCCATTGGCGATCCACTCGTCAGGTTGGCACAGGAAAGCACGCCGCGCAGGGAGGGCGAGAAGAGCTTTTTCGTCGCCATCTCGTAGGTTTGTCCTTGTGAATGTAGCGTAGGAATGCATTTTTGGATTGTGTTTGGTCGAGCGTGTGTGTGGATGTGAGGAGAAGGGGAGTGGGCTAGGACGAGATGGTCCGCCTAGAGGTGCCTGCGACGCTGCAGAGGATCAGGATCGCGGTTTGCAATCCGTTGATCAGGTTGGCGGACGAAACTTGGCTATTGAGGGACGCGGAAATCGTGTCGCCATTTCTTCGCCTCGCTCAGCCTTGCGTGGCTGCGCTTGCACTGCCTACTGCAGCTGCTTTTGCAACTTCTTGAAGCGCCCAAGCTCCCAGAGTGTTTCCTCGTCATGCATTTGCGTTGATAGAAGCATGGCGTCTTGCAAGGCTTTCGACATAGGCCTTTCTGGCTGTACAGTCCCTCGGTGGCATTGTGACGGAATCTTTTAGCGTTCCGGTCGCTAACGCTGTGCACGAATCTTGCCTCGAGCTCGCACAGGCGATGTCGCACCGGATGCTTGTGACGATCTGATCGTGTGTATGTTCTGGTTGGGATGCGTGTGTAATGGGCAACAGTCGTGCGCACGTGTGGCCCAAGCCATGAGGAGGCAGAAGCGTGAAGGGCGAGTGCGGCAAGAACGTCCATGGTGAAATAAAGTTTGGCATGATGTACGCTAGGATGCTGGCAACGCGATCAAAGGCATCGAGTCGTACGATCGAAGCGTGTTGAGCTGATACCAAGAGATGGTGTTGTGCTGTACGTGTTGTGCGAGTGCGAACTAAGCTGACCAAGTGAGGTGCGAGCTGGAGGTGCATCGCACGCGTGAGTCGCTGGTAGCTCGGCCTCCGGAGCCGTACGGTGCCGAGTAGCGTGGGACGTAGCCCGCATGCGGGCGTACATGGGTGGGGCTCCCGATGCAGGTACCGGGCGAAAGGGAAGGCCACCAAACAGGGCGTGAGTGTGAATGGCAGATGAACACCGCCAGCCAGTACAGCTTGAACACCAACTATGGGTGCGTTAAGACCATCAACACCCTCGCTTGAGCTTGTGCAATTTTATGGCGACACAGTCTGCGCCTCAACCAACGATCAGCAAGAATCTCAGCAGCATGCCGGGTTTTTCGGCGCGCTGCAAGCGAAGAGGGCAACGCTGTCATCCCACACCCTACACGCTGGCAATTGTACAGTCGAGAAACGCAATGGTATTTGGGAATAGTACATGTGATACAGAGGATCCAATCGACCATGAACGAGGACCAATTCTAAGGCCGGAGAGGTGGAGACAAGGGACTTTCGAGCTGGCTAAGTGCATGTACGGCCGAAGCTCTTCTGGACCCGGGCGCGGGCGCGGGGACGTAAAGGCTCGAAATCGGTGGGAGCGTGGGTCTTGTTGCCGACGAGCTGGACGATGAGCTGGACGACGAGCTGGACGAAGGCAGCGGTGCGGCCTCTCTGGCGACGAATCGGGCTACAGAAGCCCCGGGGTTGGCTTGTGCTGCTGCGTCTGCGTCGAGCTTGGCGATACCTAGGCCGAGGGCCGAGAGCTGTGGGCGGTCGGAGTCCTTGGAGGGGCAGTAGGGTGTGTCTGTGGTGGACGAGTTTGGGGTCGAGTTGTGGGTGCTCGAGGTGGCGATGGACGACGACGAGGAGCGCAGCTGCAGCGAGGGACGTTGGCGGTCCGACTCGACAGCGAGGGGTGAGAGACGCGGACCGTCAGCGCGGTAGTGCGGAGCGCGGTCGTCGTGCGACCAGCGCGGCTGATGCGATGGCACCTGCAGCTGAGGTGCCGGGTACGAGCGCGACTGCGGCGCCAGCCGCGATAGGCTTGGCAGCGGAGGCGGCCCTCCCATGGCGCCCACGGGCGGGCTGAGACCCACGGGACTGCTCATGGGGGGTGCCGAGTGCGAAGTGTAGGCGTGCGGGTGCGGGGGCGCATACGCAGGTGGGGCGCAAGTGGCACCAATCGGAGGCAGCATTTCGCCATCGCCCGACTTGTCCGCATACGCCCTCAGCGGTGTTGGCCTAAGCGGCTGCAGACTCGCATCGCTCCCCGGCGACCTGGACGACGACAGATGGCGACTCTCGTACTCGCCCGCCGCATAGCTCTGCCGCCTTGCCGAGACGAACCTCTCGTCGCCGTAGTAAAAGTCTTCGGGGGACTTGCGTTTCTTGGCGTGCTTGTCGCTCGCCTTGCGCAGCTTGTACTTCATCCCCCTATCGACCAGCGCATCCATGAGCACCGAGGATGCCGAGAGTCCGGGGTGCTTCCTGCGCTCGTGCACTTCGAATGCATCGCTGTAGACCGAAGCGATCTTGAATATGCGTGCGCCCACGCGGTCGAAGAGGTCGAAGCGCAGACGGTATACGCCGCGGTTGCGCACGCCGAGCTCCTTGAAGACAAAGAAGCTCTGGTCCTCGCGCGTGTCGATGCGCGAGTTGAATGCGCTCTGCAGCGTGTCGCCCACGAGCGGCTCGATCCGTCGTGCGTCGGGCAGACACTCGTCCTTGGGCGAGTCGCCACGCACGAGCTGTGCACGTATGAACACTTCCGGCAGCGACAGCAGCTGCTCGTCACCACTGCGGTCCAGCAGCAGCTCGCACACGGGTGGCGGGTCGATGGGGATCGAGCGCGCGGTGCGTAGCGACATCTGGCTGTTGCCCACCGCCAGGCCGCGTCGGGGCTGCTGGCGGATGACGAGCGAAAAGCGCGGCTCCTGTCGACGCTTGTCGCCATACATGCCGAGTGCCTGTGTGACGCTGGGCAGAACGAGCCATTCGGAGCGGCTCGGAAACCCAGGCGTCGCATGCGCGTGGTCGGGCGTGGCAGCTGCATGCTGCGAGCGGTGGCGCTCCGACGGCCTAGCTGCATCATGCGCCGAGGCGGGCGCCGAGGTGCGTGCCCACTCGTCGCGCTGTGCCGATCGGTGCTGTGGGTATCGCGGCAGAACCGGCTGGTGTTGTGGGTGGGCAGCGTATCGGGTGCGCTCGTGTGCGTAGGCGTCATACTGGTGCTGTGCACCGGCTTGCGGGTGGGAGTCGGTGTGGGCGGCGGGCGAGGGGCGGTACGAAGGCCCCCAGGCGGCGTCGCGAGGCGCGTAGCGAAAGCTGCCTCGGTCCGAGTCGCGCTCATTGGCCATTGGATCTTGGCGCCCCGAGCTGAAGGGCGAGTGGGCCCAGCGGTGAGGCTGGTGCGCTAGGCAGAGGGCGGTAATGGTGAAGTCGGTTGGTCGCGCGCTTGCGACCTCGCTGGCGGCAGAGTCACGATCGATGCGTGGTCGAGAAACGTCGACGGGTGATGGCGACCTCAGCGTGGCGATCGAGGTCCAAGACGTCGGTAGGGTGTGTATGTCGGAGTGAGTTGGCCTCCAAGAGATGTCGTGTATGAAGAGGCGAGAGGGTGAAGTTGGTGGTGCGGAAACAAGCCAGCTAGGGTAGCATGGAGTGACAACGAGGAAGCGAGAGAGCGACAGTCAGAGAGAGAGAGAGAGAAGAGAGAGAACCCAAACAAAGCGCCAAGAGAGCATGAGACGGGGGG